AAACGTACGCTGACGCAAAGCGCAGAGTATGAACGCAGTCGCTCACGTATGGGGCGAACCTTTGCTTCATACACCGCGTCTGTTCTCTCCTCACTTTACCCTTGCGTGTTATTATCCACATTAACGTTTTATATTCAATAATAGGGATTTAAACCAGTTCTAGTATTGAACAATGTAAAAAGAAAGGAAATATGTTGTCGGGTCTTCCAACTTCTCGCTCACGTTGCCGCGTACATCTCTGCAAAATGTCATGTCAATAACCCAGAAAGACTTTTTTGTGTATAGTGGTTACGATTGAGTTTATGGCCGGATACGTAGGATGGCCTTATCCTTTTTTTGTTTGCACGTATTGAATTTTAATTCTGCAGAAATGAAGTGGTTTTTTTTTCTTTCTCCTTCACTTCCTATATACTCAATCAATACCTTTAGGGCGCCTTTCTCCGGAGGGAATTCGTGCTGTGTTCGACTACCTCGAGCAGAAAAGTGCGTTCCCTTTCGCGCAATCCTTCGTTTTTTCTTTTGTTGAATTTCGAACATTGGGCTTTCTTAAGCAGTGTGAATTATTAAAAAGTCAAAATTCAGAGCACATCGAGTGGATTGATATTGTAAAAACTCGGTGTCATATTTATTGGCGGCGCCCAGACGAGTGGGCCGCTTTGATCTACGCGTGGGCGGTCTCGAACGGCTTGCTGAACACGCCGTGTACACTTTACGAAATCGCACACGGAGACGATACAGTACAAGAATGTAAGTCGACCAAACTTTTTTTAAAATATTCTGCTTGTACTCTTTCTAAGCAAATCGGAAACATTGATTTCATTGACCTCTGATTGTGTTTTACTCTTTGCTTGGTGGTTCTTAATGTGGACTGCGTTTTTTTCTTGAATCCCGCGGTTGCATATGGGGAACTGTGCTCATTGTATTGAGTAGAACCTCTTTGTACAAGCTTTCCGAGCTGTTCGTTTTATGCCAGCAAAGCGATACCTTGCCATCTCTGGAACATTGGTCTTATTCGCGTCATCCAGTGCTGATTCCATCAAACAATGACAAAATGAAAGACACGGTGTAAAGACTGAACTCTTGATAGAAAAACCCTGTCAGTTTCGGTGGGCGGCTTGCCTTGTATGGGAGCTGCAGGGCTTCGCTACTGTGAAGTCGGTAGTGGGACAACTGGGGAGTCTGCGGACCTTAATACCTGAACCAAATAGGACCACCCACGAATTACTTGAGCGCGGGGACTGTTCTCAGAGCAGTTCAACGTTATCGACAAAATTTTTGAACACAGCCAACTAACATGGATGTACATTGACCATTTTGCGACTGTTCAGTGAGCATTCATATTTGCAAAACTCTTTTGGAGAGAGATAAACACCTTTTGGAGATCTCAGTGAGCTGTTTTCTAGAAAAGTTGCAGCCGCAGTGCTTGCTCATAATGGAGATGGACAACAGTCACATGTTTTACGCGTTCCAAAGTGTAAAGCACCTTGTCGCTTTATGATGGCTTCGCAGGTGTCAATGGAGGATTCACGATTCAGTTCAGATGCTAGCGGGGACTCACCTTGCTTTACCTAGATTAAACACTAGGTGATTACAGTGCAGGCGTTTTCCGTTTTTCTTTTTTTACTATTAAAGGCAGTTGGCACGATAAATCCCCCAAGACGACTAGGATCAATACTCCTGGCAGGATAGAATTCCGCGACCCTGGGCAGGCGCTGCATAGCGGTTTCCCCGAGGAAGGTGCCCTTATAAGGGCCCTATCAAGCCACAACTTTAC